GGAATATTATGCAGCCATCAAAAGGAATGAGATCTTGCCATTTGCAACGACGTGGATGGAACTGGAGGGTGTTATGCTGAGTGAAATAAGTCAATCAGAGAAAGACATGTATCATATGACCTCACTGATATGAGGAATTCTTAACCTCAGGAAACAGAGTGTTGCTGGAGTGGTGGGGGGTGGGAGGCATGGGGTGGCTGGGTGATAGACATTGGGGAGGGTATGTGCTATGGTGAGTGCTGTGAATTGTGCAAGACTGTTGAATCACAGATCTGTACTTCTGAAACAAATAATGCAACATATGTTAAGAAAAAAAAAGATAGCAGGAGGGGAAGAATGAAGGGGAGTAAATCAGAGGGGGAGACGAACCATGAGAGACGATGGACTCTGAAAAACAAACAGGGTTCTAGAGGGGAGGGGGGTAGGGGGATGGGTTAGTCTGGTGACGGGTATTAAAGAGGGCACGTTCTGCGTGGAGCACTGGGTGTTATGCACAAACAATGAATCATGGAACACTACATCCAAAACTAATGATGTAATGTATGGTGATTAACATAACAATAAAAAAATTTAAAGGAAAAAAAGAAAAGAATTGACCCCTTTGGCACCTGAGTGGCTCAGTCGGGGAAGTGTCTGCCATCAGCTCAGGTCATGACCCCAGGGTCCTGGGATCGAGCCCCGCGTCAGGGCTCCCTGCTCAGCGGGGAGCCTGCTTCTCCCCTCCCTCTGGGGCTCCTCATTCCTTCGTGTAGGCCCCGATTTCCATGTGGTGTCATATTTTTTCTGCTTAAAGAAATTTCTTTAGCATTTATAGTGCAGGTTTGCTGGTGATCTTCTTTCAGCTCTGGTGTGTCTGAAAGTCTTCATTTTGCTTTGCCTTTTGAAAGAATTGTAGGTATATAATTCTAGGTTGATGGGATTTTTTCAGTGCTTTAACTTAAAATTAGGAAGTTCTAACTGAATTTCTGCCCCCTGTTCTGTCTCTCCTCAGGGCCTCCAGTTACACACAGACTGGGCGGCTTGAAGCTCTCTAGCAACTGATGCTCTGTTCATTTTTTTCCCATTTTTTTTTTCCTTTGTGTCTTAGTTTGGGTAATTTCCAGGGTTATCTAATAATTTAAAGAAAACTTATCTCTCGGTTCACAGTGCCGGACCTACCCAGATTATCTTCTGATCTTATCTAGTTTGTACGGGCCTCCCGGCCGTTGATATTGTGGGCAAAGGTCTAAAGTGTGCCCTAAACGTGTGAGGGGCAGGGAGTGGTTAGTTCAGTGCACTGGGGGTGGTTAGAGCGGCTGACTGGCTTTGGGCCCGTGGACACAGAAGTCCTTATCTCTTGCCTGGGTCTGAGAGCGCAGGGTCTGGGCCGACTTATTTAGAATTTACTAACTTCCTATTTTAGAAATCAGGTTCGTGAAGGCAGAGACTGGATCCATATGTTTTTTTTCTTAGTAATGAAGGTGGAATGACTCACTCAAAACTCTTGATGCCTCTGGCCTTTATGGAAGCATAATGTGCTCCGATCTCGCGGTCCGACTTTCCATAATGTGCTCTGATCTCGCGGTCCGACTTTCCATAATGTGCTCCGATCTCGCGGGCCGACTTTCCCAGTGATTTTTGTATTCCTCCCCTCTTCTCTCCCGAGGTGTGTACTGTGGGTATGGGCTCGTGATATTTGCGGTCGCCATTTCCTTTTGCTTCTGGTCTGCCTCCCTGCTTCTCAGGTTTCATAAGACAGTGCTGCATCTTGTCAGTTTTCGGTGCACCTTTTATGTATGTCCAGATATTCACCCTCTTGTTTATTTTTACACTGGATCCGTAATAGCCAATGTCTACTTTTACATGCTATGTTCATTCAAGTCTTTCATCTTTGGGACAAAGAAAGTCATTATTTAGCTTTTCTCTTTAGGCCGGTTTCCCAAACCTTTCCATTCCATCCCTGGACCATCTCCAGCATCTCTGAGTCATGGAGGCTACAACTGGGACAGTATTTAAAAAGCGAATTGATGAGTACTGACCATTAGAAAGTAATTATCTTGTGATTTTCACATGCTGCATGTCTTTGGGTAATTTAAAGCCATGCGTGTATATAACCTCTTTCCTGACAAATGTGTGTTTGGCGATTGCTTACCATTTCTGTAATGATGCCTGTCTCTTACTCTATACATGCAAACACAGTATGTGCATGTGCGTACGTGTTTATAAACATACACATATATAACATTCACTTCGCAAACCATTCCTTTTCTTACAAGTTTTTTTTTAAAGATTTTATTTATTTATTTGAGAGAGAGAGAGCATGCACTTGAGTGGGGTGAAGAGCAGAGAGAGAAGCAGGCTCCCCACTGAGCAGGGAGCCCGACGTGGGGCTCGATCCCAGGACCCCGGGATCATGACTTGAGCCGAAGGCAGCTGCTTCACCGACTGAGTCATTCAGGGGCCCCATCAAACCATTCCTTTTCTAATCAACCTTGAAACGCAGTCTGGGTCTTAAATCTGTGATGATTAACTTGAGGGGAGACTAGGGCTCTATTCCGCAGTAATCTTTTTCTCTCTTCCAAATGTAACAGCACCACTCCCTTCATTTAAAGTGCAAGCTGTTTCACTAACATAATAAAATTTAAAAAAAAGTACCTTTCCCTGAACACCAATTAGGTTGAGCACCTTCTAAAAAAAAAAAAAAGTGCAAGCTGTTTATATTTTTAAAAATTGCGTGATATAATCTGAGTGTTGAATACGTTGAGGTGTCTGGTAATATGTCTTAAATCTAGTCTTCTGTTTTACCCGAAGGAACGGAAGGATGAAATCGCCACCGTGGAGACCATCAACAATGGCAAGTCCATCTTCGAGGCCCGCTGGGACATCGACACTTCATGGCAGTGCCTCGAGTACTATGCGGGCTTGGCTGGATCCATGGCTGGTGAGCCCTGGCCTGGCCTGGGAGCAGGTGGCCAGGAGGCAGAAGAGCAGATTCTAGTGGTGAAGGGAGAGAGATTTGGGGATTAAGACAGACCTGGGTTAAAAATCCTGGTTTTATCACTCTCCGCATGGGTGACCCTGAGAATTACTTTATCTTTCCTTATTGAAACTGTCTTCGTGCGTTATCATAAGGATTAAATGAGAAAATATACGTAAAGCACTCGGCATGGTACCTGAACTTCAGGCCAGGTTGTTAAAAAACCAGTTCTTGCAAGGGTCAGTAAGTGTTACATTTATTAGTTCTACCTAGTTAAGTTAGCAGAAAAGGTTTTGTTTTGTTTGACTGTGAGGTTTACAGTAGTTGATGTTGGATGGCACCAGCACCCAGCAGGGCTGTGGGGAGCCAGAGTCTGAGGTTTGGGTACTACACTTCCATCTTGTTTCCTTTAAGTTATTATTTGCTAGATGCTCTAAGGTTTTAGAGTATTATATTAAGTCAAGTGAACACAGGTTTGAGGGACGGGTAGGATTCTTTTTCGGAGAGAATGTGCAGAGGTGTGCATGCATGGCTAGAATGAACATTAGAGCGGAGACTGGGAGCACCGGTGTATTGGAGACAGGAGGCCGGGGTCAGCAGGGAGGCCAGGGACAGCGGGGAGGCCAGGGTCAGCGGGGAGGCCGGGGTCAGCGGGGAGGCCACCAAGTGTGGCACAAGCTGAGTAGGGCTGTTGGCGGAGTCTCTGGAAAGGCAGTCCTGCATTCTCTGCGACTCCTCTGTTTCCCCCTTAGGCGAGCATGTCCAGCTCCCAGGCGGATCGTTTGGTTATACCAGAAGAGAACCGCTTGGCGTCTGTGTGGGAATAGGCGCGTGGAACTACCCCTTCCAGATCGCCTGCTGGAAGTCGGCACCGGCCTTAGCATGTGGTGAGAAAGAATGGCTCTTCCACGTGGGAGCCGTCCACTCTCGCCCCATTCTCTACCTCTCACCTGTCCGTGCCCATGTACACACACATACACACGCACACTCATTCACACACTCATACTCCACAGCAGAAGGGGCCTGCCTTGGGGCACCTGAAGCCTCAGAGGACGGGCGTCCCTCCCTACCCTGCCACCTCGGGACCTGACAGCTTAGCACATGCACATGGATTGCTTCTATGTTATTCCCACTGTTATTTTATTTTTATTTTTGAAAAGATTTTATTTATTTGAGAGAGAGAGAGAGCACAAGCAGGGGGAGCTGCAAGCAGAGGGAGAAGCAGGCTTCCCACGGAGCACGGAGCCTGATGCGGGACTCGATCCCAGGACCCCGAGATCATGACCTGAGCCGAAGGCAGCCACTTAACCGACTGAGCCACCCAGGCGCCCCTATTCCCACTTTTATTTATCTAATTTATTTTTGTTATGGAAAGGAAGACCATTAATTTTGGTCTTGGAAGCCTGATTTCTTACGGTCACATTGATTTAGATTTGTGCTCCTTATAAGTTCTCCTTTCTGCAGAAGAATTGTGGGATGAATTTCTTTGGAGGGAGTCACACTCAAGAGTTTGGCTTCACTTAAGAAGTAGAAGATAAACTTCGTCCTTCTTAAGACAAATAATAAACAAGGCTCCCATTAGAGAAACTTGGGCTGGCTGACTGAAGAAGTTTTCTCATACTATTTAAAGACGAATCGGTGGGAAAAGATGGTTTATTGTATCTTAGGAAAAAAAATCCTGAGGTTAAAGAAAGCGCCACAGTTGGGCCACTGTGTTGAAATGCAGCTTTCCTCATGTTGCCACTTATGTCCTGCTTTTTGCAAGTTCCCGTGCGAGGCAGAGGCAGCTGCGACAGAAAGACTAGAACTAAGTCACTAAGCTTTGGAGACTCATCAAAATGAACCTTTCTGGTCTTCCATTTCAACTTCTCTAAAATGGGAGTGAGCGCACCACTTCCTCCTGCTGTGGCAAGAGTTAAATGAGATCATAGATGTGGGAAGGCCTGGAAATGCGAATGTAAGGTGTTCCTGGTTGAGACTGGGTGGGTGTGTGGCTTGGGATCTGCTCATTGCAAGAAGCCGAGGTGGGGAGAACAAGCTGGGTTTACTTATTTGTACCAGTGCGGGTCTAGGAGGTGACGGAGGGCGGGGAACAGGGAACACTTGGAGTTGCTCTTGGCTTGTCGTCCTGTTCCGTCCTGTGCTCAGAGGATCACCGGGCTTAAGCAGTCTTCTGTGCTCGCGTCTTGGGTTTGCGCAGGTAACGCCATGGTCTTCAAGCCCTCTCCCTTCACGCCGGTGTCGGTGCTGCAGCTGGCCGAAATCTACACGGAGGCCGGCGTGCCCCCCGGGCTCTTCAACGTGGTTCAAGGAGGGGCAGCCACGGGCCAGTTTCTGTGTCAGCATCCTGACGTGGCCAAAGTCTCCTTCACCGGGAGTGTGCCCACCGGCTCGAAGGTACCGAAACCAGTGTGGGTCCCCACAAATGGCAGTGTCGGGCCTGCCCCGAGTACATGTCGGAGGCTTATCTTCCAATCTTAACTGAGCTTGGGCTGGGAGGGAGGCCATAGGGATCGGGACAAAGATCTGAAGCGTGCTTTAGACGTGTGAAGCGGGGAACGAAGTGGGGTGGAATGATCAGAACATGAGGCTGGCAGTTGGTCCGCGAGGGGATGGAAGTCATCTGCCCATGTCTCTGAGCGTGGGGTCCGGGCTGCCACTTGGGTCCTTGGTGCCTGAGCTCCTCTGTAGCAGCCACCTCAGAAGGAAGGGTGCTCGCTCAGTTTATTTCCGATGTATTGTTTGACCTTAACTAATTGTCAGCCTTGAACACAGTAATAGTAATAGAAGGGTTTCCACCTGTGACACGTGAATGAACGATAGTTTCAAAATGCATTGCCTCCTCAGAAAGTCAGGTGCAGTCCTGTGGATTCTCAAGGGTTCTGGAGAAGGATAAGTAGACGAAAGGGCAAAGTCCCTGACAAGAACAAGGCTGCAGGTCATTCGTAGGTCGAGATGCCTGGAGGCTCAGGTTCTAGCTGATGTAGCATGTGGTTTTATATGCATGACGCTTCTCAGTGTGTTTGTTCTTGTTCTGTAAGATCATGGAGATGTCAGCTAAAGGAATCAAACCCGTCACTTTGGAACTGGGAGGCAAGTCTCCCCTGATCATCTTCTCCGATTGTGATATGGAGAACGCTGTGAAGGGGGCGCTGATGGCCAACTTCCTCACGCAAGGCGAGGTAGGCACCCGTCCCTGGCAGAGGTCTCAAAGGAATCTTGCCCCTTCATCGAACAGCATGTTTTCAAGCTTTCTGTTTCAAAATAATTTCAGACTTACAGAAGCGTTGCCCAGATAGTGCAAAGAATTCCTTCACATCCTTGAGCCACGTTTCTCAAATGTTAACATTTTATCACATTTCCTTTGTCATTCTGTTTCTTTTTCTATACATAGGTATGCATGTTATCTTTTTCTGAACTGTTTGAAAGTTGCAGACGTAAGATCCGTAACTTTTACATTTCTGTCTGTATTTTCTAGAAACAAGTACATTCTCTCTCTTTTTTTTTTTTTTTTAAAGATTTTATTTATTTATTTGAGAGAGAGAGAGAATGAGAGACAGAGAGCACAAGAGGGAAGAGGGTCAGAGGAAGAAGCAGACTCCCCGCTGAGCAAGGAGCCCGATGCGGGACTTGATCCCAGGACCCCAGGATCATGACCTGAGCTGAAGGGAGATGTTTAACCAACTGAGCCACCCAGGCGCCCCTCATGTTGTCATTTGTTTGACATTAGTCCTTTTAGCAAACTAAACAAAAACACAGTTTCTTTCTCTTGGTCCAAGACCGAGTCTAGGAAGGTGTGTCGCATTTAGTTGTTGTGTCCTCATAGCCTCCTTTAGTCTGGAACAGTCAGCTCTTCAGTTATTCTTATCTTTCAGGACCTTGACATTTTTGAAGAATACAAGCTATTTATTTTGTAGCATGTCCCTCATTTGGGGTCTCTCTGGTGTTTCCTTTTGATAAGATTTGGGTTATGTGTTTGGGGCAAAAAAACACCACCGAAGCGATGTTGTGTCCTTCTCAGAGGCTCACCAGGGAAGTCGTGTCACATAGCAGACAGTGCGACAGGATTCTGCACCTCCTCAGCTCTCCCCACTGGTCTTAACACCCTGGGATGATTTTTGCTGGAAACAGTTTCTATGATGGGGGTTCCCAAATGGTGATTTCCCAATAAAACTGTTCTTCTGCATTTATTAGTTCACTCTCCACTGTGAGAAGGAACTTTCCCTTCTCCCGTGTTGTTTTTCACTCATTTATTTTTATTATCATGGACCATGGATTCTTACTTTATTCTATGGATTACAGTCCATGTACTATCATTATTTATTCTGATGCTCAGATAATTGCCGATTTGGCTCATGGCAGCTCCCGTGACCTTTTGATATGTGTTCATTATTCTGTGAGCATGAGTATTGGCTCTGTTTTTGGACTTTGTATCTATAGTTCTGATAGCATTTGAACAGTATCTGTGCTCACGTTCCATGGGAGGATCTAAGTGGTCATGACTAGCGATTTTAGAGACAGACGTTCACTGTGAAATGCTTCAGGTTTTTATTAGGCTCAAGCCCCTAGTTCTTAAGTCTATTTTTGCTTTCCCGTCCCCTCCTACTCTTAAAATACACGGCCCCATTGAGCCTCTGACAGGAGGCAATAGGAGAGCTCATGTGGCTCATGTGGATCTATGAATGGCCTTAAGGAAATGTAAACAAACAAAAAGCCAGAACTTTCTTCTCGAAGGGCGGGCAATTTCTTTGCTGATAGGGTGGTATGTCCACAATTCCTTGTGTGATTCTGTTCAGGATGGGGATAATTTTTAGAGCTGGAACTAACCTTTTAAAAAGGTATACTGTCTCTTTTCAGATTAAAGCTGTTGGATTCTTCCCTCTTTTCCTTTTTCTTTCCTTATACACATACAAATTTGTGTCTGTCCTTCAGGTTTGTTGTAATGGCACAAGAGTATTTGTGCAAAAGGAAATTCTTGATGAATTTACAAGAGAAGTAGTGAAACGGACCCAAAAGATAAAAATCGGAGATCCCCTTCTGGAAGATACGAGGATGGGTCCCCTCATTAACCGCCCACACCTGGAGCGAGTCCTTGGGTTTGTTAAGCTGGCAAAGGAGCAGGTGAGAATCAAGTAGAAATAGGATGGGGCGAGGGGGAGGGGAAGTATTCCACGTTCCTTGCTGGGTGCACTTCTCCTGTGCTAATACCTGCTTGGCTCACGATGTCCTCAGCTGTGTTCTGCTTTGTACCTGCAGTGGACTAACTAGGTGTCTGCTTAGGACACACTGAATGTTTCAGGGATGCATATCAGGGTTGTGTGTTTAATAGAAACTATGCATTCTTCTTCTTTTTGGGCAGGGTGCTAAAGTGCTGTGTGGTGGAGACATACATGTACCCGAAGATCCCAAATTGAAGGATGGATATTACATGAGACCTTGTGTACTGAGTACGTCCTCTTCTTGTTTGTTTTTAAACAGTTTGAAATAAATGTCAGATAGAAAAGGATATTTATAAAATATGTATATGGTATAAAGCAAGTGTCAGTAAATGGTGTCCCCACTGCTCAGACTTAAGGAGTAGAAGTTCTTCCTTACCTCCCATGTGCCCTTCCTCTTGGACAGCAGTGTGCTTTAGTTTACCTGAGACTTAACTGGGTCGACACCTGTTGTTCTGGAAGCAAGGCGCTCAAAAAAAAAAAAAAAAATGGTAGTGCATGTTTTAAAAAAAATTAATGAATTTTGTTTCTCAGGAAAGTTGCTGAAGAATATGTTTTTCTTTGAGCAATATGTCATCAATATGATAAAACCAATTTGTCAGACAATCTGGCGATATTTAAAAAATTTTGTAATTTAATAATTTTTAGCACCTCCTTTCAATATCTTAAACGTGTCCTGCTTTGGACAGGCAAGTGTATGGTCATTCCGCTGTCTTCGACCCTTTACTTCTCCTATCCCTCAGAGGTGCCCACTGCTCTAGGTAATGTTATTCTCGTGCTTTCCTCTGTTATTTTACAATGTATCTTAGTATCCCTATAAAAATATTGGTAGTTGCACTGCTGTTCAACATAGTACTAGAAGTCCAATCAGACAACAAAAATAAAAGGCATCCAAATTGGTAAAGAAGAAGTCAAACTCTCACTCTTCGTGGATGACATGATACTCTATGTGGAAAACCCAAAAGACTCCATCCCAAAATTGCTTAAACTCATACAGGAATTCAGCAAAATGGCAGGATATAAAAACAATGCACAGAAATCGTTACATGTCTATACACTAACAATGAGATAGAAGAAAGAGGAATTATGGAGTTGATTGCATTTACAATTACACCAAAAACCATAAAATACCTAGGAATAAGCCTAACCAAAGACACAAAGAATCTGTACTCTGAAAACTATAGAACACTCATGAAAGAAATTGAGGAAGATACAAAGAAATGGAAAAACATTCCATGCTCATAGATTGGAACAACAGATACTGTTAAAAAGTCTATGCTACCTAGAGCAATCTACACATTCAATGCAATCCCTATCAAAATACCATCAACTTTTTTCACAGAGCTGGAACAAATAATCCTAACATTTGTATGGAACCAGAAAAGACCCCGAATAGCCAAAGGAATGTTGAAAAAGAAAACCCAAGCTGGTGGCATAACAATTCTGGACTTCAAGCTCTATTACAAAGCTGTAATCATTAAGACAGTATGGTATTGGCACAAAAACAGACAGATCAGTGGAACAGAATGGAGAACCTAGAAATGGACCCTCAACTCTATGGTCAACTAATGTTCAACAAAGCAGGAAAGAATATCCAATGGGAAAAAGACAGTCTCTTCAACAAATGGTGTTGGGAAAATTGGACAGCCCCATGCAGAAGAATGAAACTGGACCATTTCCTTACACCACACACAAAAATAGACTCAAAATGGATGAAAGACCTAAATGGGACACAGGAATCCATCAAAATCTTAGAGGAGAACACAGGCAGCAACTTCTTGCTAGACACATCTCCAAAGGCAAGGGAAACAAAGGCAAAAATGAACTAGTGGGACTTCATCAAGATAAAAATCTTTTGCACAGCAAAAGAAATAGTCGACAAAATCAAAAGATAGCTGACAGAATGGGAGAAGATATTTGCAATGTCATAACAGATAAAGGGCTAATATCCAAAGTCTATAAAGAACTTATCAAACTCAACACCCAAAGAACAAATGATCCAATTAAGAAATGGGCAGAAGACATGAACAGACATTTCTCCAAAGAAGACATCCAAATGGCCAACAGACACATGAAAAAGTGCTCAATGTCACTTGGCATCAGGGAAATACAAATCAAAACCTCAATGAGATACCACCTCACACCAGTCAGAATGGATAAATTAACAAGTCAGGGAACGACAGATGTTGGTGGGGATGCGGAGAAAGGGGAACCCTCCTACACCGTTGGTGGGAATGCAAGCTGGTGCAGCCCCTCTGGAAAACAGTATGGAGGTTCCTCAAACAGTTGAAAATAGAGCTACCATACGATCCAGCAATTGCACTACTGGGTATTTACCCCAAAGATACAAATGTAGGGATCCGAAGGGGCACATTGCACCCCAATGTTTATAGCAGCAATGTCCACAATAGCCAAACTATGGAAAGAGCCTAGATGTCCATCAACAGATGAATGGATAAAGAAGAAGTGGTCAATATATGTAATGGACTATTAGCCATCAGAAAAATGCAGTCTTGCCGTTTGAAATGACAAGGATGGAACTAGAGGGTATTATGCTGAGCAAAGTAAGTCAATCAGAGTAAGACAATTATCATATGATCTCACTCATACGTGGAATTTAAGAAACAAAACAGGAGCATAGGGGAAGGGAGGGAAAAATGAAATAAGACAAAACCGAGAGGGAGACAAACCGTAAGAGACTCTTAATCATAGGAGACAAACTGAGCGTTGCTGGAGGGGAGAAGAATGGGGGAATGGGGTTAACTGGGTGATGGACATTAAGGAGGGATGTAATGAACACTGGGTGTTATATAAAACTGATGAATCACTGAACTCTACCTCTGAAACTAATAATATACTATATGTTAATTAATTGAATTTTAGTTAAAAAATAGTTTAAAAAAATCAGTTTCATAGGCTTTAAAAAACTATATACAGATTGAATTATGTTGTGTAATTCCTTACATCTTGTCTAGAAGATAGATCCAGCTGATCTCTGTCCCTAAGATTGACAGCTGTGTCCGTTTTCAGCACTTGATTATCTGATGCATTTTAACCTTTAGCCCTCGCTAAAAAAAAGATCCACTGAGGTTTGAAAGCTGTGAACCTAGCATCCATACCATGGATTAGCTTGTACTTATTAAGTGAATAGGAAAAGCTTACAATATATTTTTAGATACAAATAAAAAATATAGATTTAACAATACTGTGTATGGTATTAACCCAGATGTATTAAAAAACAAGTGTATGCATAAGAAAAAGAAGGAATGGAGTATTCATCATAATATTAATAGTGGATTTCTCTGGTTGCTGGGATTAAAGGTGATTTTTATTATACTTGGTACATTTCTGAATATTCCAGATTTTTCACAGGGAATACATATTTTACAATTAGGAAAAAAAAGTTATTCTTTTTTTTTTTAAAGATTTTATTTATTTATTTGACAGAGAGAGACAGTGAGAGCAGGAACACAAGCAGGGGGAGTGGGAGAGGGAGAAGCAGGCTTCCTGCTGAGCAGGGAGCCCGATGTGGGACTCGATCCCAGGACCCTGGGATCATGACCTGAGCCGAAGGCAGACGCTTAACGACTGAGCCACCCAGGCGCCCCCAAAAAAGTTATTCTTAAACAAGCTGTGAACCTAGGCAAAGAACAGGGAGTTAACTGAACAGAGGTTTATTCTAGTGATTCTGAAAGCCTGGTTTGTGATCCATGACGTCAGTGCCACTTGGAAAACCTGTTAAATTAGGGGCCGATTCCTGGCTCCTGCCCTAGACCCCTCAATGTAACTCTCAGAGTGGGGCCCAGCGATCTGCTTTTTAATAAACCCCCAATTCATTTTTATTCATATTAAAGTTTGAGAGTCACAACAGAGTCTGGGTTAACTTTAGATTCCTTAAGATTTGTGGGCCAACTCTGGAAAACAGTATGGAGGTTCCTCAAACAGTTGAAAATAGAGC